ATTTTGGGTTTGATACTCTTAAATTTCTTCCTTGAGGTCAGGAAGGTGTGGTGCCGGTTAGAGAGTAAGGACTAGACAAAGAAAAGAGAGTTAAGAAAACAAGTAAAGTAAATGTGAGGAAATTACATTTTTCCTTTGCAGTTTATGTGGGTTTATTCTTTGTACTGTGGTCAGAAAACATAAAACCTACTATTTTATAGCACAATAAGGTGAGTATAGTTAATAATCATTGTGTATTTTAAAATAATTTAAAGAATATAATTGGATTGGTTTTAACTCAATGGATGAATGCTTGAGGGGATGGATACCCCATTCTCCATGATGTTGCATGCCTGTATCAAAATATCTTATGTACCCCATAAATATATACACCTAGGTACCCACAAAAATTTTAAAAAATTAAATTGTTTTTAAAAAGAAAACACATCAATGCAACTTTTTTACCACTAGAAATGTACAAACGAAAGTGAATGAAAATAAGAAAATGTTCAGCACTTTTCTATCAGTGGTGAAAAACTAGCGTTTTTAATCTCTAATTGACCCCAGCTGATATTTTTGTAAGAATAGAATGAAAATTATTAGAATTTGAAAATGCATAAAGCAGATTTCCAAAATCCAAGTCCAACCTTTATTACTTACAGACAAGAGAAAAAATTCTTTAGCCAAATGACCATAAAGCTGCTATTTATGGATTATTATCCCTAGACTCAGTGGTCATGGATGTGTAAGTCTGCCAATCAGCACTTGTCTATGGGCCACACTTCGAGTAACATTGCCCTTCACCTCCTTTGTGTTCTGTTTTGCATATTTTTCTGGTCTCTCTGAATTGTACTTTTCCGATATCAGGGATGGGGATCTGAACATCTGTCATTCTAGATAGTACTTTATTGTGTTGAATAACAATTTAAGAAAACAATTAAAAATTTCCCTCATGCTAAAAGGAAAGACATCAGCTTGAAACTATAACAAAAACAGAGCTACTGGAACACTGTATTGCTTTATATTAGAAATACCACTGGTGGTTTAAGTCTCTTAAAGGATAGTTAATTTGGGGACTCTTTTGGTTTATACTGTTTAAGTGTAATAAGAATAGAAAATATTAACCATTGTCAATTGTCATTCAATTTAGAGACTTCATCAAATCTTCTGTGTCCTCTGAAAGTTCTGGAAACTGTTTCAGTGCATCAATTAATAGTAGGGTAGCCAGATTTAGGATATAAAAATATAAACTACCCAGCTAAATTTGAATCTCAGACAAGCAATGAATAATTTTTATAAGTGTGTTTCAAATACTTTTGAGACATACCATATGTAATGTTTTAGACATACTTTTATTTTAAAACTTATTATTTTCTGAAATTCAAATTTAACCAGCTGTCCCGTATTTTGTCTGGTAATTCTAATTACTGGTCTTTTGGCCTGGACTTCTGCCGCTGTAGACTTTTCTGGGGAGAAGAATTGGCCCTGCCAGATCAAATCTAGCCATATCGACCAGATTTGCTTAGCTATTGGCAGCTAGAAGCTAGAAGTCAATAAAAGTGAAGATATTTCTTTCAGAAAAAATGTGTTTCCCATGCGGCTAAGGAGTTATGTGTTTTTTCCTACCTTGAGGCTTTTAGTTTCATGTTTTCTAGTGCACTGGTCCGAGGAGGGTACTAATCATGGTAGAAGGCATGCCTATGAGAAGGGCCACTTGGAATCTATGACCTCCATCAGTACAAAATTGACTCAATGTACTGCAAGTAGTGGAATTTGTGGTATCACAATATATATAAGGCATAGTGAGAGACTAAAAAAAGAAAACCACTATTCCTGCAATACATTATAAATAAACTGTCAGAGACACATCAATATTTGAAAAAATGTGAATTTCGTGAGAAGCACATGGCAAAAGTCCTACTCTTTTTCCAATGGCTGTTATTCCATTGCTATAAAGAAATACCAGAGACTGAGTAATTTATAGAGAAAATAAGCTTAATTGGCTCATGATTCTGCAGGCTGTACAGGAAACATAGGTCGGACATCAGCTTCTGGGGAGGCTTCAGGGAGCTTACAACCACAGTGCATGGCAGAGGAGTAGGCACATCACATGACAAAAGCAGAATCAGAAGCCGGGGGCGAGAGATGCCACACACTTTTAAATGATCAGATCTTGTGAGAACTCACTATCACCAAGCCACGAGGGATGAGCCCCGATGATTCAAATACCTACCACCATGCCCCACTGGGGATTACAATTCAACATGAGATTTTGGTAGGGACAGATATCCAAACTATATCAAGTAGAATGTTAAAAATGAAAATATTGCGTATTTATACAGGTTTAAACCTTTCTCTTTGCCATTCATTGGTAGCTATTATTATTTCATTAAATGATATTTGTCTTTATGTCTTAAATAAGAATTTTAACATCATTTTGATGTAGGACTAATGCTTCCAGATTTTAAAGAAAGACAGACTTTTCTTAAATAGATGTCTGCTTCAGATAGAGAGGAAATGACTAACGTACACATGTAATTTATTTTTCTGTTGTCACTTCTGGGATTTAAAAATTTTCCTCTCTGGCAATAACAAAAATTCTTACTTTAGAATACACTTATCCTAAAATTTCTTTTAAAATAATGTTTATTCAAGCCCATTCAAAAGTGGGCAAAGGATACGAACAGATACTTTATAAAAGAAGACATACATGAGGCCAACACATGAAAAAATGCTCATCATCACTGGTCATCAGAGAAATGCAAATCAAAACTACATTGAAATACCATCTCACGCCAGTTAGAATGGCGATCATTAAAAAATCTGGAGACAACAGATGCTAGAGAGGATGTGGAGAAATAGGAACACTTTTTCACTGTTGGTGGGAGTGTAAATTAGTTCAACCATTGTGGAAGACAGTGTGGCGTTTCCTTAAGGACCTAGAAATAGAAATTCCATTTGAACCAGCAATCCCATTACTGGGTATATAGCCAAAGGATTACAAATCGTTCTACTATAAGGGCACGTGCACACGAATGTTCATTGTAGCACTGTTTACAATAGCAAAGACCTGGAACCAACCCAAATGCCCATCGATGTTAGACTGGACAGGGAAAATGTGGCACATATACACCATGGAATATTATGCAGCCATCAAAAACGATGAGTTCGTGTCCTTTGTAGGGACATGGATGAAACTGGAAACCATCATTCTCAGCAAACTGACACGAGCAGAAAATCAAACACCGCATGTTCTTGCTCATAGGCGGGTGTTGAACAATGAGAACACATGGACACAGGGAGGGGAGCACTACACACTGGGGTCTGTTGGGGGGAAATAGGGGAGGGACAGTGGGGGGAGGGGAGTTGGGGAGAGAGAGCATGGGGAGAAGTGCTAGATGTGGGTGATGGGGAGGAAGGCAGCAGATCACACTGCCACGTGTGTGTCTATGCAACAATCTTGCATGTTCTTCACACGTACCCCAAAACCTAAAATGCAATAAAATTAAAAAAAATAATGTTTATTTTAAATAGTGAAATAACACGTTTATTTTAAGATATATTGGAAAATGCCAAAATTTATCAAAAAGTAAAGTACAATTACAAAATACCTAACCACAGAGGACAAATTTCACTGTGGTTATTTTGGTATTGTTCTTTCATTCTCTTCAGATTTCATAGTCGGAAAACTGCATATATAATACTGTATTCTGATTTTTTACACTATTCAATCTAAACATTTTCCATATTGATAAATGTTTTCTCAGCATCATTTTAATGGTTGAATCATAATCTATTCATTGGTGATTTATTCAACCAACCTGCTAGAGCTGGACATCAGGTTACTCCAATTACTTATAATTAAAATGCTAATAATGATGATCTGTTTTAGATTCTTACAATTGAAATGACTGGAAAATGATATTTAAGACTATATATTTTGTTCAAATTATATCAAAAGCATTATAGACATTTATTAGGAAGGTATAAGAGTGCCAGTCTCACTGACCTTTATAGCTGCCTTATTTATCTTTCATTACATTAGGATTTTCCAAAAAAGTTGAACCATATTTCATATATATAATAGATGTAAATATATATATGAATGTATTATATATATGTATATATGTGAATATATTATATATATGTATATGAGAGATTTCAAGGAACTGGTTCATTGCGGAAGCTGGAGGGTCCCCACAATAACCCTTAGGGTGAGCCAGCAGGCTGGAGACCTAGGGAAGAGCTGGTAGAGAGTCTTGAGTTCAAAGGCAGTCTAGGAGCAGAATTCCTTCATTCTCTAAAGACCTCAGTCTTTATTCTTAAGGCCTTTGACTGACTGCTGAGGCCTACCTACATTAGGAAGGGTAATCTGCTTTACTCGAAGTGTCCTAATTGAAATGGTAATCACATTTAAAAAATACCTCACAGCAACACTTAGACTGGTGCATGACCATACAGCTGGCACCATAGCCATGCCAGGTTGACACATGCAATTAACCACCACATTTGCCATCCAAAGATTTTATACTATGTGACAAAAGGCTCTTTCTTTCCAGTGTTCTGTCTGTCTCCATGCAGACATGATTGATTTACTTAGGACTTTTATGTATACTGCATTTTCCATTTTAAGCACAAAGGTTGTCTCATCCAATTTTCAACTAAGCATTTAAGATTGCCATCAGATGATGCTGAGAACTAAGCCTGTATTTGGGCCGTATACAGACATGTCAGGAATATTCCTCTACCATGTGGTGACTGGGCAGACTTGGAAAGGGTAGTTATATCTTCTTCCTCTCAATTTTCTCTGTTGCAAAGTGCAAAAAATTGTACCTACTTCCCAGGTACTTGTGAGTATTCATTGAAGAAATATTTATATTTATAGTAATATGTACTATGTAGTAGGCCATGTGTATATATATATGCATGTATGTATTTGTTTGCTTGCTTCAATCAGTTCAGATTGCTATAACAAATTCTTCTAGACTGAGTGGCTTAAGCAACAAATCTTTATTTCTCACAGTTCTAGAGGCTGAGCAGTCCCACATCATGGTGGCAGCAGACCTGGTATCTGATGAGGGCTTGCTTCTGGGTTTGCAGATGGCAGGTCTTCTCATTGTATCCTCGCATGACGGAAGGGAAAGAAAGATTGTCTCTTCAATATCTTCTCTTATAAAGACACTAATCCCATTCATGAAGCCTCTGCTCTACTGACCGAATTATCTCCCCAGGCTCCCACCTCCTAATACCGCCACACTGGGGGTTAGAATTCCAACACAGGAGTTTGGGGAGGATACAAGCATTCAGTTCATCACACTCTTTCCCCCTTTTTTTTGACTCATCAACTCCAGTACCCATTTCCAACAGTCAGTGTACAAAAACCTTTCCCTTTTCAGAATACCTAGTGCTTTCACAGTTCTCCTCTCAGAATGACAACTGCTGTGTTGGAAAGGGATTTCATAAATTTAAATAAAGTGGGCATGAAATGCCAAGATTTAAAAAAATATTCTTTCAAGGTCACGCACGTCCTTCTTGAAGATAGAAGAGTGTATGTATATACTTTTTAGCGTAGCCGAATTTTGGTTTTTCCTGACACTTCCTTTCTTTTGCTTTTGACTAAATCTTTTTTTTTCTTTTTTGAGATGGAGTTTCTCTATTGTCACGGGAGCTGGGTGCAATCTTAGCTCACTGCAACCTCAGCCTCCCAGGTTCAAGTGATTCTCCTGCTTCAGCCTCCCAAGCAGCTGGGATTACAGGCACACACCACCACATTTGGCTAATTTTTATAATTTTAGTAGAGACGGGGTTTCACCATGTTTGTCAGACTGGTCTCGAACTTCTGACCTCAGGGGATCCACACGCCTTGGGCTCCCAAAGTGTTAGGATTATAGGTGTGAGCCACGGTGCCCGGCCTTGACTAAATCTTTATGATTTAAAACACAAATATCCACAGAAAGGACTCAGTTATTCTCTGAGTGGATAGGTCAAGAGCAAACTAGAAGAGACTTGTCATCTCTACCCAGTTGACCTTAATTTCAACATTTCAGTGCCATTACTTCCCCACTTCCCAATGGCAGGTTTAAGGCATCATCTCAGTCCTCTTAGTCAAAAACTTGTCCTAAATCAGTGCCTCAGCCCAGCCTGGTGGCTCATGCCTGTAATCCCAGCACTTTGGGAGGTAGAGGCGGGTGGATCACCTGAGGTCAGGAGTTCGAGACCAGCCTGGCCAATGTGGAAAAACCTCTTCTGAACGAAAAATACAAAAATTAGCCAGATGTGGTGATGGGTGCCTGTAATGCCAGATACTCAGGATGCTGGGGCAGCGGAAATGCTTGGACCTGGGAGGCAGAGGTTATAGTGAGCCAACAATGCACCACTGCCCTCCAGCCTTGGCAACAGAGCAAGACTCCATCTAAAAAAAACTAAAAATAAAAATAAATAAACAGATCAGTGCCTCTTCTGTCTAGCCCGTGCATCACGTGAACCAGTGAGAGTCTATGCCCTTTGATGCAGTTTGCTGTCCTTGAGTTTCTATGAAATTTGTTGTTTAGTTGGAAAATACGACACAGCTGTCTTCTGATTTAGAGAATGCCTTAAACCAGTTACCTCCTACCTTGGCTTGATCATTTAAATGGAAAACGCTACTGCTCCAACAGAGCAGAAATGATATAAAAACTATTTCTGATTTGAGTATCTTGCCTCCTGAATTGCCATGGCTACTCTTGTCTCTGAGGGAAGAAAATATAAAAAATGAAAACACAGGTTTTACAATTCTCACAAGCGGTAAACCTACTTTGCATTACTTAAGATGTTTAAGCCGATGACAGTTTATGCCGAAAATATTACAATAATCCAATGAAATAAAATAGCATTTTAAAAAGTAGTAGTTTTGTGTAGAAATTGCGGATAGCATTAATGCATGCTGGGAACTTTTACAGATAATGGGCTGTATCAGTTTTGTCTGAGGAGTTACTTATTTGGCTTTTCATTTGTAAATAAGACAGTATTATTTTCCCCTTCAGAAGTATTTAAGCCATGTATTAATAAAAGAAAACGTATATATCTAGTCCATGGTGGTAGAATTGGCCAAAGCAATCCTGGCTTTTGGTCTTATAAGTCTGAATTTGGAGAGACATCAATAGGTTGTTTAAATGACAGCATTCTATAGTTGAAGATGACTGGATGTAGAATCCGAATATTTGTATAGAGTCTTTGCTGTACTGTTAATGATCATTTATTTAGCTTTCCATATCAATTCTTTACTAAGGTTTATATGATCTGGCCCAAGGATACCTCCCCAGCCCAATTTTGTGGTCTTTACTCCTCATTTGCTTATTTCAGCCTCTGTACCATATTTTGCACATTCCAAAGACACTGTCCCACTGCAGGCTTTTCTGCAGTCACTGTCCCTGTGACTGCCATGTGCTTCCCCCAGATGCAGGCTGGCATTTGTTAAGCAGATCCAACATGTTACAAGGTGTTTTAAATGCTTCATGTGTTTATCTGGGTTGGTTCTCATAATTGCTGTATGAAGTGAATAGTGATATTTGATGGTTGAAGAAACTAGAAGAGATGAATGCAGAAGAGGCAGGATTGGAACCCAGGCAGTCTGGATGGATTCCAAGGCATAACACTAAGTATTCTCACAGTGCACCATACCCGGAGAATGGTTCACACCCTTGCCTTGACTTTAGGAAAGCATTTTCCCAAGCTGTTCCTTGGAGAGCATTTTCCTATCTTATTTAAAGTGGAATCTCTGTGACTTTGTTTCTGTTTACTGTTTCATATTTCCTTACAGCACTATATGTTTCCTGACATTGTACTGCGTATTTACTTGTTTATCCCATTGTTTGTTCCCCGAACCCCTCCCCCTACTAAATGTAAACTCAATGAAAGAAAGACCTTGTTCTGATTCATTTGCCTCTATATCCTGCCCCGAGGTCAGTTCTTGACCTGTGACAAGGAGTGAAATGTACCCAAAGAGGAATCTAAGTCAGGTTGAAAAATTATTATTATGTTTAACATTTTATTCTTCAAACATTTACTGAACACCCATTTTGTGCTCAACTCTACGCAAATTTTTGGAAATGTAAAGGCAGATGAGAACGATGGGACCTCCTGCTCTCCTAGAGTTTAGAACGTCATGGAAGAAACAAACAATAAGCAGGCAAATACATGTAGAATAAGCCTTCGATTAGGACAAATAGAAAGTGCAGCAGAGAAGGTAGGGTTTAGAGAAAGCGACTTTGAGGAAGTGATATCCATACTGAGACGTGAAGGACAGGCTAAAGGGTAAGAGAGGTGGAGATGGAGGTGGGGGAGCACTCTGGGAAGAGGGAATGATAGAAGGCTCTGAGAGGATGTTCCTGTCCTGAACGTAGCTCAGTGTGACTCGGGTTTAGGATGTGAGGGGCAGAGATGAAGGTCTGAGAGTAGAGGAGAAGCCCAGGGCCAGACAGCTCCTCAAGTGTCCTGAAACCTATTCGAAAGATTCAGGACTTTATTGTCTGAGAAATGTGATGCCACAGAAGAATTTTTAACTCAGTGTCATTTTTAGTATCGGATTCAATGTATGCCTTCAGCCAGGAGAGTTGGCAGTATTTCCATTTTACAGATGGGACAACTGAGGCCCCAAATAACACATTTAAGAGACAGGTGGAGTTGATTTAATGTTCTCAATCACCATGCGGTCAGGGTCTCCTAACTCTCCTAACTCCCACCCTCCATCCTTCCTTGTCTTCTTCTGATTGTTATCCTTGCCAAAAGTAAAACATAAAACTGTTTACCTGCCATCCTTATTTTTATCCAGGGAACACGCATACACTCACACAGCTTCCAGAAACCAGTTCCCCTCAGCAGAAGCCAGTTGCTTCAGGGGTGGTGCGGCTTGTATGTGGATGGACACCATATGTCCATTGATCCCAAATTCTCTGTTCTTGACTAGGAAGCTGGATTTGTACCGGGGACCTTTTATCTAAATAGGCAACTCTGGGCTCGGGAGAACAGAGCCGACTTGACAAAGTAGAAAAGAGCTCAGTCCTGGTCTGCCCACGCTTTGGGCATGCGTGAGCACTCGCAGCAAAACACAGCTGGCACGTCTAATTTTAGCTTTGCCCGCCTTGAAAAGGGACCCTTTAAGGAAATATATTTTCTCTGAAACAATTTGTATTATAATGTAGCAGCTGATAGACATGACAGAATATTATCATTCGTGGGAAAAACCTCTGCCAAGTAATTATGATTTTTGTCCCTTTTTTTTTTTTAGATATCAGTCAAGTGATCTAAGCATCAGTGCATCAAAATAATCAGAGAGACAATGGGAGAAACAGATTTTATTTGTAAAAAATCTGATAAACCTAAGGGATCACCTCTTTGATTTTTACAAAATGGATGTAATAAAAAGAGTTAACTATTTTTGATGTATTCAGTTGATCAGTCCAATCTGATGACATATAGCGTGTTATGGTAGTCCTGAAGTAGACCCTAAAATTTCTTCAATACTTAGCATCCTCCAGGTTTTCCAGGTGGTAAAAGGTTAGTTTCTCAATCAGCTATTGGATTCATCTGGCTCTAGTGCGTTAACAGATTTCGAAAGCATCCGGGACTTACTTTTTCCCCCGTTAACCAGCAAGGATCGTTCCCCTGCCTTTATTTCTTTTCCTTTCTCCTCCTTCCTTCTTTCGTCCTCTCTTCCCTCGCTTCTGTGTTTCGTTTAGCAGTGTGGCTTACCTTGGCACTTGGCAAAAAGAAGAACAAAAAGCGGCTCTTGTGTGGGGTAGATGGAAGGAGGGATAAGAAATAATCCACCGCCCGCATTTGAGTTCTTCAGGTTCAGTTCCAGCGGCAGCAGCGTTGCTGCAAAAATCGCTTGCTATTCGAGATAGCCAGCAGAGGGAATCGGAACTTTGTTTGCAGCAGGGGTTGAAGCAGCCTTTTTTTTTTTTTTTT